TCAGGAAAAAAGAAAGATTAATTGAAAAACCCTTGTTGATGGATCGTGGGAAAAAAGAATCTTGTTGATTGATCGACAAAAGGAGAAGATGAAACCTCTGGGGTGGAGCTGTGGGGCAGTGGTGGGCTGCTTGGCGGGAGGAGGTTGGCCGGCGACGAAAGATGGAGGCGATGGAAGGTGGATAGAACCGATGATGGGGTGATCGAAGATTGCAGCGACCAAATGCATGTGGTTTTTTTGTTAGGGCACAAATGTCCAAGGCGTCCTTTTTTTCCATTTAGACTTCTTTTTGTGGCTTTGCTGGAAAGCCCAATCTTACAGGGAAAAACGAAGTTTTTTATGTGAATCAAACGGTCTTTCCGACCCATTCGGCCGAAAAGATGTTTTTGGGGTTGGAAAGACACTTATCAAACAGGGCCTTAAGTCCCGGGGGACATTGTCCCAATGCCTTTTTTCTTGATAACTTTACCAAACTTCCTTTGCAAATTTCTAATTGGCCAAAAGTCACAAGTTTTCAATTTTTCTCACCCCTAAGATTTCATCAAAACCTATTTTATCAAAAACATCAAGACACTCCAATGTGATAATGGCACCGTATACAATGATTTATGGATCCATGCGTTTTGTCAAAACAATGGCATCACATTTCGTTTATCATGCCGTCACACTTCCTCGCAAAATAAAAAGTCGAAAAAAACATATGAGCCATAAATAATGTCATTCGAATCCTTCTCATACCTACCACCCCAATAAACAAGCTACAAAGTTCTACCATGTATGCATTCCTTTGTACACAAACCACCATGGCTGGTCCTGAAGAATTAAATATCCTGAAAGGCCCAGGACGAGCCAGAAAAAAAAAGAGCCCTTATCATTATTATAAGTTTTGATTTTTAAATAAAAATATATAATAATATAAAATTGAGCCATGTGCAGATGTCCACTTTGTCCCCCCCCCCCCCCCCCCCCAATGCCCCCTATGCCAACCACCATGGATTTAAATGTTATAATTTACACATCCACAAGATAATCATTTCATGACATGTCATATTATTTTTATTTTGAGACAACAATATACTATACTAATCCTAAATTATTCCATCTATGTCCATTGCGAGACTTGGACCCTTGACTTGCGCAACACCGGATACCGTTAGGCTAGAAGCCCTTTGGTACATGTCATATTCAACAAACAAATCTTTTCACTTGTAATAAGAATGACACTTGTCATTGACCCTTACATCTTCATCAGCCCACCTTTGACCTTGGTGTTGGTTATCCCTTGCGCAATCCCAACCCACCGGGTCTTCTATCCCCACCCCATTGACAATTCTAGCCCAACATTCATATTCTCATGGGCCATCGTTTACACCCTCTTAGCCTTCCCCAACCCATGTTGCATCCCCTCCACCCCATCACAACTTCCACTAAACAATACACAAACACAAGAACCATCAATTCAAACACCATTTTCACGTGTTGTTGACCATCTTAACATGTATTATTATGGACATAACCAAGTCCAAAATTCTTTTTAATATGTATGTTTCTTGCTCTATCTCTCCCACTCCTCGAAATCATAAGAATGTTCTATCTAACCTAAATTGGAAATGTGTCGATAAATTTAATTCTCGTTGAAAATAAGGCATGGTTTCTTGTCCCAAGACAAATGTGTTTGTAATTCATTCCATGTGGATTTTGAAACCTAATATGAAATATGATGTTTTTTTGAAAGTTTTAAAGCTTGCATTGTTGATGATAGACACTCAAACAAGTTGGTATTTAATATTTAGAAAATTGTAGTCTGGTTATTAAACGGACTACTATCAAAACCGTCATCAGTCTATCCATCTCTAGATCACGGCCTATTCAACAATCAGACGTTAAAAATGGATTTTTACACGACAACCTACAAGAAGCCCTTTACATGCATCATGCCTTGGATTTCCATGACATGAAAAGGCCTAACCATGTTTATTTTCTCAAAAAAAATCTTTGTACAGATTCAAGCAAGCCCCACAAGCTTGGTACACCCGATTTTCAGATTATGTCTCCATCAGTTTTATTCATAGTTGATGTGATCACTTTCTTTTTATTTTACCTACTCGGTTTTGATGTTTCCTATCTTTTATTATATGTTGACGGCACATCATCACCACCCCATCCCAAATATTAGCACTTTCTCTCATGTTTTGGATTGTGAATGAATTTATAATGAAAAATCTTGGACAATTGAGTGATTTTTCTAGAATGACATCACATGCCATGATAACAATATATTTCTACACAAAACTCAATATGCAAAAGAAATAATTGACCTTGCGGGCATGTCTACATGCAAACCTACACAAACACCGGTCGATACCAACTCCAAGTTAGACATTTGTACAAGGATGCTTTTTGTGACCCCCACTCTTTAACGTACTTTAGTCGAGGCCCTTCAGTATCTTACATTTACAAGACCGGATATTACATATGATGTCCAATAGGTTTGTTTGCACATGGATGATTCATGTGTTGGCCACATGAACACGCTAAAAAGAATCATTCGATATATCCATGGTACTCTCTCCTTTGGTCTTCACTATGTAATTGACTAATATTCCCGCCATCTAGTTTTCGAAGGCCATGTGTGATTGAGCAAGTTGCACTTGCTTTTGGGTCGGGCCTAAAAGAGAGAGCCTTGTCATCCCCATTTTTAATGTTATTTGATATGAGCCTCATATTCTTTGTTTTCTTAATAAACCAAAGACCTTTGACCAAAACAAGTCCAGTATGGATGCTCTAAAACTCATACGAGTCTCTTGAATGAATTTGTTATTGTACGTATACTGACACGTGCAGGAGTTCGTAGCCATTGTTGGATAAAAGGACTATAAATTCCCAGTTTAAAGAATGAAACGCAGGAAAAATATCTCAATAACCTCGACTCTTTTTAATAATATGTCAAACAACTATAGTAAAATATTAAAATGTACAAAACCATAAATGTTTAATAATACATGGAACACAATTTAACCGATAAATTAGTTAATATTACAAATATTTCGTCATTTAAAACCTTATCTAACAACCACACTACCTACTTTTAATTAGAGTTAGCCCATCTAACTATCTAAGACATATCCGATCCTATTCAATATTCATATCCGGGTTGTGCATCAAACTTGGGGACAGTTTAACAACCTGTTTGGGATCAGTCTTGAACTTAAACAAATTTATACAACTCCACATAACATAACTTTATTAATTATTGTCCAAATTTAATTTAATATAATAAACACTAACATGCTCTTTCGTTCACAGTGTAATATTTTACTTGTATGCTACAACCAATGCATGTGGTAATTCCAACCTTTTGTGGCTTAGCATTGAATAAAGTGATTAAAGTAAAGAATAATCACAACTGTCGATCGAACTTTCTTGTATTTGTACAGAGGGACTAAAAAAGCATTTAATTACAAAAGCAAGGGGTTCTTTTTTCTATTAAGTGATTAAAGTAACGTAGGAATGTTGTCCTCCAGCTTGTCCTATGCCCACCATTCACATGTCAGTTCGCACTTATTGTAAACCTCCAATTTTTTCATAGGCGGGTAGGATCCGGTGGTTGTAGTGATTCCCAACTGTCCAACCATATTTATATTATCTAAATACCAAAAAAAACACCATGGCAACAAATTATCTTGCATTTTACAAAATTTTAATATTAGATATTCTTAAAATAGTTTGGTGTTCAAGACAATTAAGATAATAGGTTACTTAACATTTAACTAGTGATTATTATATATAAACTTTATGTTAAAGATAACACCAAAATAATAATATTGCGTTAGTCGTGTTACTTAATGAATACTTTTATTCTAGTTAGATTACTATAGTGACATTTTCTTGCACTTGTTGGTAGGATGCTTTAAATCTTGTTTACCAAATAACTTAGATAACTGTAGAATGTTCTATATCCATTTACCAAAGAACCCATTTATAGGGTTGGCTAAAGAGATCACATTTTATCATATAGACACCCTAATTAATTTTTGAAATATTTTTATTCGTGATTACCCTAAATTCATAAATCTCTGGTGTGTCTCCCTACCCTATATCCATATGTTCAAAATCATGTTTACCAAAAAACCGGAGATAAGTGATTTTCCAAGTTTAATAAGTTTTGATTGTTTCCCTACCATGTATATACTTCTTACTTTCTTAGAGGACATTTATAGATCTGCCTCAACTTCCTCATATACCTCCATCTTGTTACATAAGAACCTAGATATAACTGATATTCTTTTAAGTTCATTAAATCGGCATGTTTCCCCACCCTATATCCACATGATTAAAATCTAGTTTAGCAATGAACCCATATAGTCTAATAACCTATTCACATGTCTCCCCACCCTATATAGATATGCTCAAAATCTTGTATACCAAAGAAATCATATAAACCGATTCTCCTATATGTCTAACAACCTCCACATGTCTCCCCACCTTATATCCACATGTTCAAAATCCCATATAACCGATTTTCCTAGGTTTTATTACCTCCATCCCATATCCACATGTTCAAAATCCCATATAACCAATTTTCCTAGGTGTTATAACCTCCATCCCATATCCACATGTTCAAAATCCCATTTACCAAAAAAAAAAAAAAAAAAACCTAGATAACCGATTTCTCTAAGTTTAATAACCACCTCTTGTCCCCTACCTTACATCCACCTCTTATCGAAAACCTTATCTCACATATGTCACACTCCCTAACTTGTAAATTTATGATATGATATATATTAAGCAAACCATAAATATTCATGGCTTTTGTACATGGCAACAATAGATCAAGATGTGGAAATATCAAGTAGCCAGTTGTCATTTTGCACAAAAAATATATATACATGGGCCTATATTGTCATATGCAACCATAAGGAGACATACAATAATTTGGTCCAGTAGTAGTACCACTACCTTGCAGTAATCATTTGGACCACTAAACTTACCCTTCACAAGGCTTGTTTCACTATCAACCATTCATCTTATCTATCTATAAACACATTACACATACAACCTTTTTTAATGCCAAATTCATACAAAATAATAAATAAAAAGACATACAAGGTTAATCGAAATAAAAGAGGTTCTTTGAGACATGATTTTAGTTACAGACCTGTTTTTACAAATGTATTTCCAAACCTAGATCAGCAAAATACAAACTGACAAAAAAAAAAAAAAAAAAAACAAAACGCATACAAATTTAAACCAAACCAATATATAAAACACGTAGTAAATAAAGAAAGAAGATAAAACGTCTTCTTTTTTTAATAAAATCTCACACAAACCCTAATTAGATTATC